TCTCTCTCTCTCTCTCTCTCTCTCTCTCTCTCTCTCTCTCTCTCTCTCTCTCTCTCTCTCTCTCTCTCTCTCTCTCTCTCTCTCTCGTGATCAGATAGTGAAAGATAGATTTTTGAGCTGCTATGCTGCAGGTAGAAGGACGGCTCCTAGCAGGTACTGGAGGCCCAAGCTATGGCGCTGAGGTGAGTGCTCCAACGGTGCGCTGCTGCTTGAGACCTCCTCCCTGTACTCCTCTGCTTTCGTCCTATTCCACTATGGCCCAAGCTATGGCACTGAGGCCAAGCTATGGCGCTAACACGAGCGCTGCTACTCTAACAGTTGCGAGCGCAGCATTATGCTGAAGTGTGCCCTTAACACCTCATACCAGGAATGAGCGCTGGCCCAGCTATATACCGCTGGGCCTATTGGAAGTCTCCATCAGCCTGCTGCTGGAACCATCTGATCAAGTGGCTGATCGACGGTCCCAGAGTCAGGCCCAAGTCCTGGCCTACTGGACTGGCCTGGAAAACAGCCTGCCTGGGTCCCTACTGGATGCCAGGTCCGCAAAAATACAGGAGCTGGAGTCCTGGCTTACTGGACTGGCCTGGAAAACAGCCTGCCTGGGTCCCTACCGGATGCCAGGTCCGCAAAAATACAGGAGCTGGACCATCACTAAGAGACAAACCCAGGTTCAGCCCGATGCGGACAAAAGTCTACCTGGCCCGAAAGATGGCCGCAGGGCCTGAGAACGGCCCACCAATCTAGTGTGTGTTCGGACAACAAAATGGTCCAACTGACACATCCAGACTGAACAAGACCTGGAACAGAGAAAATACTCTGAAATTATGTGAAATATGATAAAAATCTGAGAAAATTTCAGAAAAATAAATAAACACACAGAAAACAGAACCACAACAAAACCACCTACCCGGGGCCTGTGGGAAGACGAAAAAGATGGCCACGGCCCTAAGACCACCCAAAAATGGGAGATGTGCGGTCTGGGGCCCATGATGGTCCAACGTCGGCCGTCTGGGGACCGTGTGCGATCTGTGTATGCCACACACTGGAGGCAGGAGACGGTGGCAGGTGTTGGCTCTGGCAGCTCTCAAGGTGCAAAATTTAACGCATGGATGGGTGGCGGCCCGGCAATGCAATAACAGGTGGTGGTAGCATTTCTAAAACCCTGCAGAGGAAGTCTTGAAAATCAAAACTGCTACTGGCTAGTTAGCCATCTTTTGCTAGTGATTGACCCAGCATTCAGCCTAAGGTGGTTCATTGGTGAGGCTTGGCACTTTAATCTCATTCTAGGTGAGGTGGTGAAGCATACTGGGGCCTACTACACAGGCCCCTAGGAGGCCTGGCTATTGCACTTCGCCCCCCAGGCCGCCCATCCCTGTGTTTTGGGCGACCTGGAGGGCCATGGCCATTTTCTTCTAGGCCTGGGTTATTTTGTCCCATTCGTTTTCTTTCTTACAGCATTTATTTATTTCTTAATTTTAGTTGCTGAGTTTGACTTTGTCTGATCTGTTTTTGTCTGTTCCAGATGGTATCGTTTCGGACTTTTCCTTTTGTCCGAGCAGGCACTGGTGCCTGTTCGGACCATGGCTTCCAGTTTTGGCCGTTGTAGGCCGGGTTCAGTTTTGTCTGCATCTGGACTGGACCAGGCACTTGTCTGTAGTGTCTGGCCCCAGTCCTCGTCCATTCTGGACTGCGTCCGCAGGGCCACCTGGACGTTCGGTAGGAACCCAGGCACGCTGAGTTGGGCCAGAGATGCAGGACCAGGACTTGGTCCTGCGATCAGGACCATCGATCAGACTCTAGATCAAATGGTCCTGATTGCAGATCGAGGGCAGCCCAGCGAGGTGCAGCAGCATATATAGCTGCGCCAGTCCAGTTTGAGGACAGAGTGCTGGAGCACCAGTTGGCCGTCACGCTGCTGGAGTACAGTGCCAGTTTCAGAGAGCTGCAGTGGAGTAGTAGCGTTAGAGGAGTAGGAGAGGCTGGAGGTGGCCATAGCCACGGGCGAGAGAGAGACTTACCTGAGTGCGAAGGCCGGGACTTCATTCCGGTCTGGGACCGGCCTTCTTCAGCGACCTGCATCCGTTGAGTCATCATCCTTCGCTAGTCAGTACTCATGGGCATTCACTGGTCAGTGTTCGTGGGCATCAGAGAGAGAGAGAGAGAGAGAGAGAGAGAGAGAGAGAGAGAGAGAGAGAGANGAGAGAGAGAGAGAGAGAGAGAGAGAGAGAGAGAGAGAGAGAGAGAGAGAGAGAGAGAGAGAGAGAGAGAGAGGTTCTTCTTCTTCTTCTCCTCCTTCCTAATTCTTCTTCTGACCCTTCATAGCTGCTGCTTCCTCATTATTCCAGAGAGAGCGAGAGTTCGGAGAGTGACTATTCCGGGCCTCCTAGCACCCAGGATTCAGACTCAATATTTTAGAGGAGATGATTGTTGGACTTTGCTGGGAGAGTCTATTGTCAGTTATCTCGAGTTATGCTTCTTGTCTTCGACCTTCCTCTCCTTTGTCTCCTCTCTCCTCCATCATTCATGGTTCTTCTCCGCATGTGTGTGTGACCAACGAAGGACCTTTCTTCCACGTCTGTACGCCCTCCTTGTCCTTCGTCATGTGTGATGAAAACGCTGAAATTTTGGGTCTCCATTAACGGCCTCTCGTTTGTACACACGTGGTTAACGGGGCACCCCCAGTTTCAGCTCCTGAGTTGGTCTCATTTGGAGTTGGTCTCATTTGGAGCATTGGAATTTCCTCTGATAACTTGTGATAAGACCATTTCCAAAAACGCTGAAAATTCTGAAAATTCGCTGAAAAAATGTCATTCAAGTGCACGTTTGCCTTACTGTTTCACCCTGTTTTTTTTTTTTTTTTCCTTTTTGTTTTTTAATGGTTTGTTAATATGGTGTGCACTCTATGGATAGTATGGAATGATGCAATTTTTGGTTAAAAAGGGCTTCTGGTTTTCTTATAAATAGCATTCAAAAAACGCTGAAATTTTGGGTCTCCGTTAACCGCCTCTCCCCTTAACCACACCCCACCCCTCCCACCTCTTTCTTGGCTATCTTCAGATCAGCAGTGTGCAGACTCCAAAAGACCACCAACGTGAGTGAAAGATTCAAAGACTAGCAATACAATCACCCAAAAGCAATGCGAATCAAATCAAGACAATATAATGCAATGTAGCACAGCGGAAGACTCAAATCATGATCTGACTCAGTATTGCTAGTCTTTGAATCTTTCACTCACGTTGGTGGTCTTTTGGAGTCTGCACACTGCTGATCTGAAGATAGCCATGCATCAGGTGGGAGGGGTGGGGTGTGGTTAAGGGATGTGATGGGTTGACGTGGGGTTGGGGAGGGAATAGGGTGAGGTTGGCAGTATAGTGGACTGGGATGGGGAGGGCACCCTGATGACAACCCCCAACCCAACTCAACCTACTCAATCCTGGTGACCACACCCCACCTTATCCACCGCCTCCCAGCCCCCCCCCAACCGCCCCACCTCTCCCCATCCCACCCTGCCCCAACTCATCCCAGTGACCACAATGGGGGTGCGTGATCACTGGCGCGGTGATCCTTGGGGCGGTGATCGGAGGGCTGGTAATCCATGGGGTAGTGATTTTCCCTGCAGTGCTGATCCCTAGGGTCATCATTGGGTGGTGACCCTTGGGGTGATGGTTGCCGGGTGGTGAATCCTGCCTCTCCCAACCTCAGTGATCACTAGTATTCCTTGTTTTTTTTTCCACACAAGATGTCCAAACTGTAAACAATTTGGAATGGGTTTGTGTTTCAAAGCACAAGTCATCAACGGAAAAAAGGGTTCCTGTGACCCCCACCAGGGTGCCTGGTGATTACCGGCCTGGAATCACCACTCAGAGCGCCGGAGATCACTACTGACTGGCGATCACCATCTTAGATTCCAGCAAAGTTGAGCAAACCCTTGGTGATGCCCATTTGAACAACGCTGTCCAGAACACTCACATGCCAAGTCCTGCTGTCTTAGCCACAAAATCCTTAACACGTTTGCACCTCAGTGATGTCTCTTGCTGGCGGAAAAAAAGATTAGAGAAACAGAAAACTTGATGCTTGGAAGAAATATGGAATGTACTACTCAACATCTGTTACTGAATTATTATTGTTCTCAACTTTTCATGGTATGTTGTTGTTTAATTTTTTGGTCGTGGAGCAGTGGGCTCGTCTTCTGAATCAATCCCATTTGTGCTGCAGACAGCAGTTACAAGGTAAGGGGGAGGTTGGAGAGATTCTCCATATATATACTAACTTCATATGTAGTGTTATCTGCCACTGTAGCCAGATGTCAGCCTCAATAAATCAGCTAGGGCTGCAGGCTAGCAGCCATGGCATGGCATGACACGTCAGCTCAGGGTTCTGCCACCTTGGCGAACACCCCACAGGGATGCTAGCCTCCTACCTTCTTTGGCTGTCTTGTCACTCTCAAGTCTTTTTCTGCATGTCTGAAATGCATCCTTTTCTTTTTTTGTCCTCAGGCATCCTTTTCCTTTTTTGTCCAAAAGGCATACTTTTCTTTGTTTGTCCAAAAGCCATCCTTTGCTTTTCTTTTTTTGAAAGAGTCAGAAAGACGCAATTGTTGCAAGAGCACAATTCTGGATATTTTCTTTTTCTTTTATTTTGCAGTAAACCCACAAATTCACGCTACTTCTAAGTTCTCACACCACAACGAGTCCACACTTCATGATGCCAGCTCCAAACACGAGATGAAAACGAACATGAGATGAGGAGACGTTGAGGACAATTCGGAAACTGTTTGGAAATTCAGTGTCTTATACAACAAAGTTGCATGTACATACACTTGGGCGGCTATGGCCACCAAGCAACTCAATCAGGTATGAACCTTTCTCTCTCTGGATATGTAACATTTATGCTACCCTTAGACCTTACTCGCCCTCTCTCTGCATGCCTTCCTCGCACTTTGATGTTTTTGTCTCTCCAGAGTCTCCACTAAGCGATGGTGCCTGCGCCGTTGACTACTCTCTACAACTGCCTCTCAATCTCACTCGCTGCTTGGTAGCACAAGACCATGACAGCGCTTCCCCACCAAGCTTGAACGAAAATTGTGTTGACACCTTGCCGCAGCTAGACTTTTGTACTTTGCCGCAGTTCCCAATCTTGTACTTTTCCGGAACTGGCACCTGCCTTTGCCTGCCGGAGTCAACCTTCCATGCATTCAGTGTTTTTTTCTTACTTTGGAGGGACCGAGCTGCCGATTGGTTAGACTGACTGACAGATGGGAGTGACTGGACCGACAGATCTACGAGGTCCTACAGGGCCTACCGGACTGAATCTAACTACCTTAGCTATTTTATGGGTACTATGGTACACGGGACTGTGGGACACCGGGACTTTGCATCTCTGGTCTCCATTGTGGATTTCGTGAGATCTCTCATTGTGTATGTGCTTGAGGTGACAAACAACGTGGTTCAACGCAATCTATATCTTAGCATTTTTTGTACACGTTGCACCGAACTCACTTCTTGCATTCTCCTCCCTAAGTGTTATCACTGCAGTCGTTGTCAAACTCAACCTTGTCATAGGGCACAATCTCAATCTTGGCATCCTCAAATGCTAGGAATATGTGGTTCTTAGCTGCTATGTTCTTTATAATCTTCTTCCCTTTGTGCCACACACTTCCTCCGTGCAAGAGCGGTAAGTGACCGACCGGTGATGGCTGCAGTATTCACTGCCTTTCATGAGAATTCCCGATATGTCTGTCATGGTGGACGGAACTCAACAGCAAGGTTTGACTTACGGGCTCAGACAATGCCATAACGAAATGGTCTAATGCTTTGGTGTCTGTCACTCCATCGGCGGGCATCTGCATCAGCTCATGCATTCTAGCCTGTAGCTTCTCTACACTACGCCAGTGATAGTCTTCATGATGTAGGATAGGGGTCAGTGCAGAACAGCTCCCCTCAGAACCACACGTGACAGTTTCCCGTCATGCAGCTTGCCCCCCAAAACCTAAGTTAGCCTTGTTTCTGGGCCCAGGAAGCTGTTCGTAAGCTGCGCTTTGCGCCTTTCGACTCTTATCTTAATTGTCTGGAATCAATCTCACCGACCCAAGGAATGTGTAGTTAAGAGTATTGATTTCCTGACCTTGCACTGTGCTCAGCAGATGCTTTGCCTCTGACCTATCTATTGCTAGATAAGAGAATTGCAGATATCTGGAAAAAGGCTAAAGGTGACTGTGTCTTGTCTGGCCTGAGCACCTCGTGCCTTCTACGGCCTTCTTCGTCCTAGTGATGATGAGCCCTTGGATGCTTCAAGTGCCCTGTTCTCATTGATAAACCGATCTTGCATTTTCTCCGCGAATACATCTATATTGGTCATCTGCCTGTAAGCTATTTCGTCAATCCCACATCCCGCTGTCGGCGCGAATACCCTGACAAGGGTATCCGCCCTGGTTTTTGCAAGTGACAGAAAAATAGTTTGGTTTAAAGTTTAAGTATACCGCGCTAGGCGCGGTTGCGTCTGTAATCGCGTTGGCTGAGTGGTTGACCACAATAGAGAGTGCGTGGGCGCGCAGGTTAAAGGCGCGCGTGATTCTTTTCTGTCGATTGATCATAAAGCCGGCTCGGGCGTCGGTCGCCTTGTTTAATGATATTACTAACTTTATTCATTTATGATTAAGCAGAATTTAGGGGTATTTTCTTTCTTATTGGTACGATCGACCGAGTCGAGCGCGCGGGCGGAGAACGGCCCCGACGACGGCATCGGCAGCGACGGCGCGACTTCGGGCGGTGAGCGGGGTGCCGTAGGGTGGCACGCGGGGCAATTATGGCACGGTATAAGCAAGCCGGCGCGCCGCGCAGCCGGTTCGTTGGCCCAAAGCGCCGCGCCACACTGCCTTGTATGGTACTCTGCGGGCGCTGGTCTCAGATTTGGGCATAGCCCTATAGGTTATGGCAACGGATAGTTACTATGGAGGCTCGGGGATCGAGGCCCGCGGGCGTCGGCGCGGCGGCAGCGGAGTAGCGTGGAGCGAAAGCCTGAGGGGTT